AACAAGATGCCGATGCTTAAAGGAGCGAACATAATTCTCTTCATCAGAGAAGCAGCAGCAAAGACTTTCTTTAAAACTCTCTTTCCCTAAGCATAGCAACACTGGAGCTTTTTTTGTATCCCCATGTTCTCCTTCAAGGCGAATGAATTAACTGAATGAATTAACACCAGGGCTGCTGTGATCATCATCATCATCGCGCTTCTCCTCATCAGCAGCAGCAGCTTTGACGAAGCTTTTTAACACCTACAAGGATCACACTGCTGACGCCGAGGCAGGAAGAAGCAAAGATGTCGACAACCTTGTCACAAAGAAAAAACTTTCAACTAGCAAGGTATCACAGTCTGAGTGCTACAGTCTTCAGCCCAGAGCCTTGGCAAGTCTCTGGGCACTACTGAAGAAACCTCACTGCTGATGGTGATAGGAAAGGTGGAGGAAGGGGGGGAGCAGGTGAGACGGGGAAGGGAAGGAAAGGTGGGTAAAGACAAGAGTCAGATACAAGAGAGAAAGAAGAAGAAGGGAGAGAAAAGGTGAAGAGGTAGAAAGGTGAGGAAGAGGATGAGAAGAACAGGAGGAAAGAAGGTGTTTAAGTTGTTGATCACGTCTTGAGAGAAAGAAAAACAGACAAGAGAGAGTGACAGGGCGACAGAGGAAGCAGAGAGATATCGGAGGTATCGGAGGAGAGGAAGAGGGGGAGTCGAGGAGGCTGCAGTGAGGATTTTAATTAGCAGTAATTGGCCACCGAGGGAACAGAAACTGGGAGATGGGAGTCAGGAGAGGGAAGAGAGGGAAGAGAGGGAAGAGAGGGAGCATAACAGCCAGTTTCTGACAGAGTTATATCTCTCTTGCTTTGTACCTCTCTATTTCCTTTAGCACTTTTTCTTCCAGGGCTTTTCCATCTCCATCTTGTTTTCCCTCCATCTTTTTCCACCTCCAACTGCGCTTACTCCCCAAACAGCATCCTTCGCTGTCTACCAATTTCCACCCAAAATACCAGACACTGCAAACAGAAAGTATTTGGGGCAACATTTAAGCAATATGTGCAATTATGCTACAAAGCGTTGCACATTTAACTGAGCTACGGGGTCAATTTAAATTGCAATTAATTGGGAATTTGGTCTGAAATCCAGACAAAGAAATTACATTACATTACATGTTACATGTTAGACGCTTTTATCCAAAGCGACTTACATACTCAATACTGTGGGCAATCCCCACAGGAGCAATTTGGGGTGAAGTGTCTTGCCCAGGGACACAACAACATGCTGACTGCAGTGGGGTTTGAACCTGTGACCCCCTGGTCCCAACACCAAGGCTCTATCCACTGCGCCACACGCCTCCCAGAAATGTGACTGCAAAGGTGTACCGCTTTGTGGTTAGGGTTCTTTTTTTGTTTCATATTTTATTTATTACAGTATTCCAAATAATCTCAAAGCTACTAAAATAAACATGTTTTTGTTATGTTTGACATGGCTCAATTAAGGCTCAAATATAATAGGGAATTTTTTGTCTAGTTTTACTTTTATCCTGGCCCCAACTTTCTGTTTGGGTTATTCTTCACCGCTCTGATCGGCATTGTTTTCAGCTGCAGCTGGCAGCTTGTTAGGTAAAAGGGTTTGGAAATCCTACTCTAGTCTACCTGCTCAGCACACAAACAAAGAAAGGGACTAGCTGGTAAACATAGCGGAGCATTTCGCAGCTGAGATATTTTTCTAAGGACCAAAAACAAAGCTTAGAGAACGATTATAGCTCTGTAAGACCTATTTTAAATGCCAAACTGCACCTGCCAGACATATAATAAATCTGTATTACCTTGGAAAAATATTAAGCTGTGCAGCTGACTGCCTTGAGAACGTTATGTCTAATACTTCTTATGCACTATATTTGTAGACCTGTGATGGTTCAGTTCTTCTCCAGAATAAAAATGAAATGTTGTCAAGGTTGTAAGCCTGCATTGACGTCACTAACAGAGTGCTGCCTTCACTGGATGTGAATACGAATCTGACCTTATGTTGTCCCTCTCTTTGTCTTTACCCCGGCCCCTGACACCTCCCCTCCCCTGTGTAGTTGTATATGTGTTCGTTGGGGAGCGAGGGCCGCATTGGGAACACGTTCACAGGGTTACAGCTGTGTTAATCGGTACACAGGTGAGCTTTGGGGCTCCGGGTCGCCTGCACAACACTTACGGCCCACACTCCCCTGTCTGGAAACCACAAAACACACACGAGCGCACACCTACACATGTGCACATCTTACAGCACGCAGCTGGCTCTAAAGTGATCTGAGGCAGTCCTTCTAATTAGAGGTGCTTATTTGCCCCAAAGTTGACATATTGCTGATCTAGCTGCCTTCATGTGTTGGTTATCACGTGAGTTTAGGCAGGGCCTTCCCAGCTGTCATTTGTCAACATCCCCAAATTGCATGTGACTCTTGCTAAACAGCAGCGGTAGTGTGCCGCGCACCCCGGGTGTTGCTAGGTTACGATAGTGGGATGCTGCTGTCTAAGTGGCTGCGGGATCGTCTGCGGACACTTTGCACGGAGGGCTGACAGAGGGTCCTCGGGACCATTTGGCAAATTATTAGTCACACGCTCTTTAAATTCCACATCTGGTGGCAAGCCCATACAAATCAAGATCAAAGTGTTGGCTCTGAGATTGGACCCGTCTCTCAACCTCCCTGCCTCGCTCCTGTCGAGTTTCATTTTCCTTTATTTCTCTTATCCACGGCGGTGCACAGCCTTCACACAGCCCTCTGCCTGCTTTGTTATCCCTCCTCTGCTTTCCCTGTGTTGTTGCTGTCTCGCCTCGCGCCCCCCTGCTGAGAGGTAATCAAGCCCTGTTGTGAGTGTTTAAGCATCGGAGCAGACGCATGTTGAATTATTCTTGGGACTTAATATTTTGTCTGAGCGGAGAGAGCCACTCTCCCTACCGCATGCTGGGCAACATGAATGCATGAATGCACACACACCCACACACGTCGTTAGTCAGTCAGTGAGTCGGAAAGATAGTCAGTCACACAGATCTCCAGCTGACAGATAGTTACAGGTAAGTGAGTGATGGGACCTGACAGGCAATCAACACACTGAGTGTACTACACTCGTATGCAGGTAAACTCAGTATTCACACTACCAGATCAAGTGCATCAACATTAGAGAGATACAAATGCACATATAGGGACACATGTGACGAGCAGCAGCAGCAGCAGCAGCATCCCCTCCAGGTATTTGCATTACAGTTAACATCCACAGAGTTAACCAATAAAAGCAGAACAGACAATTTAAGATCTCATCTCCTCACTAATTCCCTCTTTTCTTTAGCTGCCCTCCCATCCGTCCCCTCCCCCATGCCGCTTCGTTTTATTTTTATTTCTTTCACCACTCTCCCACTGTATGCTTATCTATGTCTTCTACTCCTGCTCTCTGTTCTGCCTTGAGCTTGCCTTTATCATCACCTCTCTTAACTTTTTTTCCTCTTCTTGTTTCACTGTGATCTTAAACTCTCCATGGAACCATAAGCTGATATGACACAGACTCAGTTTTATTGTAATCTTTCTCAAACACACACCCACGAAACACACACCTGGGTGGTTATTATAATACTCAATTTGGTGACAGCATATTTGCAATACCTTTTGGTGCTGTGTGTGTGTGTGTGTGTGTGTGTGTGTGTGTGTGTGTGTGTGTGTGTGTGTGTGTGTGTGTGTGTGTGTGTGTACCATTACAGTGGTTGACATTAGCATGGTTAGCTTCTTACAAAAGATAACGTTTAATGTTTATAATTAAGGGGGAGGAGGTGGTTCTATTTCAGTGTCATAGGAACTCTTTGAACCGTCACACTTTGCATTTGGCAAGTACAATTCTGTGTGTAACTGTTTCAAAGACTTAAATTATAGACAATCCATCACGTCAGAATGATGTACTCCATCTATTTAGCATTGCACTCCATTAACGTTGTCAGACTCACAATGGACATTTAGGAAAAGAATCAAAATCAATACAGCAGAAACTGAGATTGTGGCTGTGTTCCAAATCGTTTTTACTTGTTTTGTTTAGTACCTAATACAGCTGCCCTAACAAAGAATATACTGTTGCATGCAATATGCAGATAGAAGACTTCCTCCGAACATTGTGCCTTGAACCTTGATGCTCTTGCTCCTACATCCTCTCCGCAAATAATTGTGGTTAAGAAGAGCCAGAAAAGCTTGTATTATAGAGCAGGACATCCTGGTATTTCAAGCATACATTTCAAGCACCTACATTTCCAATTTAAGAAATCCAATGCAAGTTTTACCCCCTAAATATGAACCATGATTGATATTATCAGGGCGATCCCGATGAGTGTGTTAACAGCTTCACAGATTCAAGACTGAATCATTGAACCCCTCACATCAATCTGGGACCAACATCAGTACCGTTAAAGGTCCCAGATCAGATATCTCCACTGATTTTCGGTGGGATGAATGGAGGATAAATCTGCCCGAAACTGCTAGTCAGAGCCTGGCTTTTGGAGGAATTCTGCCATGTTGAAATGTCCTTCTGGGTTCTCTCATAAAAAAAGATCGTTTTTTAGAAGTCAGGGAAGGTGAGGCAGTTTTTGGAACTAAAACACCTAGGAAAGCTTTTTCTGTCATGTTGAATCTTCAGTTTCGTCACATTAAACATGGCGCAATAGAGTGCCACTTAATAATTGAGGGCCATTTACTTTGCTATAAATGGAAGGCAGTAAGAGAGATTATGGTGGAAATTAGCTTTAGCTGGTGGTTTAGTTTGGGCTGGAAAGGTCAATTCATTTAAAGGATAAAAAGTTCAGTAGGGTTTTGTACATTTTGATGTAGAAGTATAACCCTCCTGATGCCTGATTTGACTTTAAAATTGCCTTAATTTATGTTGTTGTTTTTCGCCATTCTTTTATTTACCTTTGTTTTACCTTTACACTTTCCTACACATTCACATCCACACGGAGGTAGCTAGAAGTCACACAAACATGTACACACTTTGTACTCACACTTTGCTGGAAGGCCGTAGCCACACGTGATCTTGGCCTCTCCGGTCTCGCAGCCGTGAAGAGACGCACACTCCTGTTTCAGCATCGGCCCTGCAGCGCGGTGGATCGCCCCGTCCACTGGAGAGGAGAGGACAGGAGATTCAGAGAGTTGGCCTACTTAAGTGAATGCTCTTCAATTTGACCACTTAGGGTAAATGTTTGAAGTGCAGCAGACACATTTACAGGTGTGAAAGGTGAGTGCAGAAAGGAGCTGGATAATGTGAGTATTAATGGCTGAATTTCCTGTCTTCTGCAGGTTGCTAACTTTTCACCCCAAATCCTTCTTTCTTCTTCCGTCTAATAAATCAAAGCATATGTCTCTCCGTGTGTCAGTCTATTTAATGGATTTAATGGCCACTGCCTTGGTTAATTACTCCACTTAATGTGTTATTAAGGACTCAGCTGACTTTGACTTTTTGGTCAATTAGTCTTTATTAATTACATTTTCATAAATCTGTATCTATCTTTGATCCACACCACATCTAAAGACCGTGACTGTGTTCATTTCCAGAAGGGCAATGATGCAGGATAAGCAATTTTACAGATGTGTCAATTACCAGTTTCAGTCACAATCCGTGCACCCCTTGCAGTGAGACACATTTCCCTCAAAGTTAATATTTAAACTATCTGCATCTCAACAGCTGTGTTTTTGTGGTTCACAGCATTATGGCCTCTAGAAAGCAGCACAGAACTTTAATTACACTTGAAGCAAATTCAGGGAAAAATAGAAAGAACAGATATGAATGCTATATCAAGAAAGAATTCACCATTAAGAAACAAATCTTCAAAGCCAAAACTTTTTTAATAGAAAACAGGATTTCACTCTTTGTAATGAAAACAACTATTGGAAAAATATAAAATCCTTTTTATATTTTACAAAGGAAGGAAAAGAGGGAAAAGTTGCACATTTATGATGATGAAAGACACATCATAGAAAGCAAGGAGAACTGAAAGATAGAATTTGAGTAAACAGATGATGAGTTCCCCTATTCTCTTTCCTGTTCAAATGTACCATCAGGTTTGGTAAAAGTTGTAGAAACAGAAGTCTGGATCAAAATACTTTATAAGAAAACTTATCTTAAAGTTTTTCATCTGGCATTTTAGGCCATTGTATGTATGAAAGTCAGAGCTGACAAGAAACAAGTGACAAGAGATTTGAATGGGGAGTGACATCCAAAAAAGTGGGGACATTGCACCGTAGATGTCAGACCACCAGCCCCCTTTTTTAAATGTATTTTTAGCCAACTCCAATTAGGCCCCATTGAAAACATCGTTATAACTTGGAATATTTGAACCTCTTTACCTTGCAATCAGACATCTCTTTCTGAGAGGGAACTTAAGCTGTTATCAATGCTCTCTTTAAAGCTACCAGCCTCCTTTGGCAAAAACAGTCAATTTAGTTCAAAGGACGCTGCTTTGTTTATGTTTCACATCGTTGAATGCAAACTATCCACCAAAGTCAGTGCCTGTTACCCTGTCTGCTTCTCTGAACTGGGGGTGTTACAATTGAATACGGCTGTGGATAAGTACCTCCTACCATCCCATTTCAAAACTCAAAATGATCCCTTTAAACCTCTATAAGCCACCAGGGCCCCTGAGGATACTAATGAAATTGTTACCAAGATTGCAAAATGTTCATCTGAATGTAGCTGCAAAATGTCCACCACCAACATATTCCATTTGTCTTCCCTGTAAAATGTATTCAAAAATACATCTATGCCTAACAGCTAAAGAATGAATATTTGATATGGTTATCGTTGTGCATATAAAGCACAAGGGTTCGGTTTGGATCTTCCTCTTGGTTAAAGCTGAATACAATGTGTTCACTCTATTAATATTTAACCATAAACACGATCTTTCCCTAACTTCAACCAAAGTACTTTTACTTGTATTATCCATAACCACAGGCAAGACTCTGGATGTGAATACTCACATCCTGCATGGAGTCAAAGCTGTGAGCTTTGTACGCCCACTCTCGACCCTGACTGACACAATACAACTTGCATGCATAAATGGAGTGCTTCCTACATTTGAAAATGTTGCAGCTAAACATTATTCTGGCAACAATTGAGTTTCCCTGTCAAAATAAATCAGTAGCTTATACTGTAAATGCCATATGGTTTAAACACTATCTTCACCATCACCAGCATTGTGTCCAGGTAAGATCCTGGCTGGAGACTCTTCACACTATTCTTTTGAAATAATTCAGAGGTTTAATGTAAGAGTCTGGTGTTAATAATTAAGTTAACCCAGAATAAAACACATCTGTCAGGAATGAGTTTGTCAAGGCACTGTGAGACTTGTCAGCACTTGGTGAAAATAGTACAATAACACCCATCCATATGTCACAGCTCAGCGTGTTGGCCTGTGGCTCTTATCTCCGCCTTGCCGTATACGGACCAGCTGTTGCAGTGATGTGTTCCTCTAAACCGAGTATCTCTGGGCGGGGGTCTGGTGTTATCCGAACGTTATTGTGTTAAGTTGGCATATCGCATGCCGGGCTAAGCCATAGTGTGCCATGTCATGCTGTGCAACGTTGAACTGGGCCACACTGTGAGCTAAGCACAAGTGTGAGGTTGTGAAAGACGAGCTCTGAACACTGGCTACCTCCTCAGGGTGCACAGAAACAAGCTCAGATACCATGCTCACGCTGTGTGTGCCACCTCAAGGACTGTACACACACACACACACACACACACACACACACACACACACACACACACACACACACACACACACACACACACACACACACACACACACACACACACACACACACACACACACACACACACACACACACACACACACACACACACACACACACACCACACACACACACACACACACACACACACACACACACACACACACACACACACACACACACACACACCACACACACACACACACACACACACACACACACACACACACACACACACACACACACACACACACACACACACACACACACACACATTGAAGCAGCCCGACTCTGAAATAAAGTACAAGTGTGATAAGAAGGAGAGCTGGAAAAGAGAAGGAGGGAGGAAGGGAGGGGAGGCAGATGTAAAAATAGTCTGAAGGGAGATAAGGAAACAGGCAGAAAAACAGAATCAAAAGAAAAATAAATGGAAATTGAACTCAAACGTAATTATCAACAATACCCTTTCTTTGTTTCATGCTTTGTGTTTTTGCATGTGTGTGTGTTTAATGGTGCAAACATCTCGTCATAGGCCCACACATACATGTTCGTGTGGTTGCCAATACACACAATATGAAGCATGTACACATACACAACAACACACTTAAAAGCTCATATGCGTGTGTGCACATACAGCTAAACATGAGATTAAGTAACACGTGTCCCGGCACAGAAAGAAAATGATTGACCATAAACGACGGGTGACCAGTTATCCCTGCATGTGGTGTTTCTGCATGTTACTTTAGCAATTGTGTTTCTCAGTATGACTCTCGACTCTCAATCAGTTAATAAGTGTTTTGTTTACAGTAGGAACATTGCACTGACCCAATTATAAATGATTTGTTCTTATAATTCAAATTAACTATGCTTAGCCTTCAGGTTTAGGAACAACAAATAATGGGAATTATCACGGTTTGGGTTAAACTTAAGACTTTGTTATGGTTTCGGGACCTTTGTCTCATGGTTACAATAATAAGCATGAGGTTCAGGAACAGCTGTGGTTTAAATACAAAGGTTCTTCTTAAGAGAGTTTCTCTTTATAGCCTTTGTTTTTCTCATGTTTGAGAGGAGAAATAATAAACTACTCTCTCTCCTGACACAGTCTGAACCTGGAGAGCAGGGGTAACAAATAACCATAAACCTATTCAATCTCACGGTGACTCACTTCTTCTTTAATATAAAGAGCTGTCCCTCTAACTACATTCACTGAAGACAGCCCATGTTACCTATCTTTCAGACTGCGGTTACTTCAGGCTCTGTGGGAGCTGGTGTAATAGCTCAGCATGAGCACTGCACGCTACTGAGTAGATTCACACACTGTTCCGTCACTTCAATGTGGTCCGAAATGGGAAGGGGGGATTCAAGACCGGAGGGGGGCGAAAATGAAAGATCGTTTGAAGTAAGGCTGCACCAGCAGTTCATGGCTGGCACACATGCAGGTGTATTAGTGGTCAAGGATGGCACTATTATATTTTACAGACCAGCATATATATATATATATACATATATATATATATATATATATATATATATATATATATATATATATAGGGGAGGGATGAACCCCTCTTTTAATGGTCACACATGCAGAGCACACAGTACACACAGTGAAATGTGTTCTCTGCATTTAACCCATCCTAGTACCAGGAGTCTAGTACTAGGAACAGTGGGCAGCTATTGCACAGCGCCCGGGGAGCAATGGGAGTGAGGGGGGAAGGGGGTTGTCCGGTGCCTTACTCAAGGGCACCACGGCAGGGCAGGAGGTGAACTGGGACCTCTCCAAGTAGCAGTCCACACTCCATTTTTAGGTCTGGTCGGGGACTTGAACCGGCGACCCTACGGCTCACAGTCCAATCCCCTACTGACTGAGCCACTGCCAGCATCAACCGAGTCTTTTTGGGTAAAATACCTGAATTATTATTCATGAAATATTTAACTATGTGACATTAATAAAAAGGGAGAATTAAGAAATAGGGATGGCAGGGTAATCTTTCGCCAATTATGACAGCACTACTGGCTGACTCAATACTTGCAAAACTAATATATTCCTTTCAGCTGTACTTTAGTTTTAAGTGCAAATATGCAAAACTTAGCCCAATAACATTCTGAACCATGACGATGAACATGGTAAACTATGGAGTATATTAACACTGTTACTTTGATTATGTTAGCATGCTGACAATAGCATGTGGCTAAGAGACTACTGTGCCTCATAATAGCAAAGAAAAGTGTACATGCTAGTTTTTTGGGAGAAATATTTTGGGCATCTATTTAACTGCAGAAACAGAAAGTGAGTATTTTTAGATAATTAGAATTGTAAAGATATGTTTGTGTTATTTACTGAAATCCATTTCCCTTTAGAGATAATAAG